TTTGTCATCGATTTGACATGAGACTTTATAAAGCATATAGATGATTATGGTCTATTCATGATGTGAATGTGACAACATCTGATTTAAGAATACATATTCATTTTTGGAAGAATATGAGCGTGCTAGTGATATATACCACACTCACCTCTAGAAGGAGGTTTGAGATGATATAAGAAAATAATATCATTATTATGGCATGAATGGTCATTGGTCACGTACCTATTGTACGCTAAAATATTTTGGCATTGTGATTATTAAAAGACAACGGTAATGCAACAAACAGATCTTGCATATAATTTTGACCATAACCATAATGGTATAACTTTCTTTTTAAAGGAAATATTCACCATATGGGTGTTGATGGATATGTGGTACTACAAAATTAATTGAGAACTCTGCAAGAGCCAATTATACTATTTTGGAGAAACAGAATTAATTACCAATAAGGTATTGTGTTGTAGTAAGTCTCAAAGAAACTTATTCAGTTTCCAAAGTATACGCGAAAGCGGTTGATTATATTGAGACTATAAATAAANATGGTACTAGGAAATGGAATCCTAAAATAGGCGCCTTATATCTCTGCAAAGCTAAGGGTATTCATATTACAAATCTTACTAGAACTGCTCGGTTTTTTATCAGAAGCTTGTGATTTAGGTTTTGACGCAGCAAGTAGGGAAACAATTCTTAATGTGGTACCAAAAATAAAGCAGCTGATTCAGTAGAGTGGGCTGCAATAAGGGCCCGGTGTCATTATGTTAATAAAAAGTGGCTTGGCGGTATGTTAACGAATTGGTCCACTACCGAAACAAGACTTCATAAGTTCAGGGACTTGAGAATGGAACAAAAAACAGGGAGACTCAACCGTCTCGTATGATGTGCAAAAATAATAGAGAATTCACATGGGTAAATATTAAAGAACTAGAAAGTTCTTTACGAATTCTCTTATATTGTTTGTTCTCATTAATTAATAGATCAACTAAAATTGGGATTGAATCCCATGAATGCTGGAAATATCAAAGGTGAATATGGGCCCATTCACCTGCCATGTATACCACATAAGATGCATCTATGAGATGATTACATGTGCGATTATTATTAACCCGCAACATGGTGTTTGCGAGGTAACTTGCTCAATAATTTAATTTAGAGCATATTCCAAATTTTCTATTCAAGAAGTTCATCTTGATAAGTTGGTCTACATCACAGCTGGTTTAGCAAAATGATTTATTGAGTGCCTCCACTTAATAGCTAAACAATTGCTTATGAGAACAAAGTTTTATATATCAGTTTGATATACGTTATATACGAAAGTATATTAATTTCTCCCCTCACAAGTGGTCATGGTCAGGAACCAAATAATTCCATCTTATTATTATTGATGTGCGGTGTATATTTTGATTAACACCATAACGCACAAAGATGGGTTCTCAAAGTTGAGAAAACAAGTTAGTTTTTCTAACATGAGGGGGAGACA